CCAGAGTTCGACAAGGCCCAAAAAAGTATGCAATATTTCCTTCCCGTGTTGCGAAAGCATATGCGATCTGGCTCTTTCCCCGTTACTTACCGCAAGAATCTGATGGGCTTACTAGCAAAGCTAGTTCCCATTCCGACTAGCACGGCAGAGGTGGAGAGGTTTTCTATCTACTCTGTTATCAGAACGCAACGCAAAACTCGCACAACGGTGGAGCATCTAAGCAATTACTTAAGATTTGTGAACCTTCTACTGAACATATTGTTATCTAACAACTTCATTTAAAGGATTGCTATAAGTGTTCCAGACAGGCTGTCATCGTACGACGTTTTGAAATATCCTAATAGATGGTATGAAGAAACTGGTCAGCTACCTGCTGACTTCCTGGTGCTACCAGAGGGCCAGGAAAAAACACAAAAGCACTTAGGAGGAGAAAAACGTTTCAAGTCCATTTTCGACTCAGAACGCTTTTTGACGCAATTCTACTTCCACTCCGATGATCTTTTGACAGAAGAAGAAGATCTTTTAAACAGCGAATTTGTTGTCTCTGACGTTAGCGATAGTGATATTGTTGATGATGACGTGCAGGAATTGTAAGTTGTTCCTAACTTGTACATCTTTTGGGATACCTTATTGCTTTCGTTTTTTGTCGATGCAATGAAATAGGAGCACAGATCTTCATAAAGTCAATTTTTTTGATTTATTAGGTTGAACCGAAAGTTCTTTCGCACCAAATTCAAAAATTCATAACTTGTGAATTCTCCAGCCTATTGGAACGCTCTTATTTTTTTCTGAAAGAGTAAGTCATGCTCTTTATAACGATTTCTTAGATGCTTGCTAATGATTTGTTGCGTAGATAGGAGCTGTAGAAGAAAATCAGTCAAAATTCGAATTTTCTGTGTAGGGTCATAAAAAATCGAAAACTTGCAACAAAAATCGGAGCAGTCGGTATTGTAGGTTCTTTCACCAGCTCTTTCTAACAGTGCAAAGTTTGCGCCGATTGAGCGTCTCTATGAAAAGTTACAATTTCCTTGAAAAATGCCAAAATAAACTAAAATCATCCTTTTGTATTGCTTTCTCGAAAATCGTAACTTTTCATAGAAACGTTCAATCGGCGCAAACTTTGCACAGTTAGAAAGAGCTGGTGAAAAAAACCTACAATACCGACTGCTCCGATTTTTGTTGCAAGTTTCCGATTTTTTATGACCCTACACAGAAAATTCAATTTTTGACCAATTTTCTTCTAACGCTCATGATCATTAGTAAGCAATTGATGGTCTTTATAAAGCGCATGACCTACTCTTTCATATTGGAATAAGAGCGGTCCAATCGGTTAGAAAATTCAGAAATTATGAATTTTTGGATTTTGTGCGAAAGAACTTCCGGTTCAACCTAATATTATTTTTTTTTAAATTCTAGAGAAATTTTTTTCAATTTGTACCTAAATGAAGTACAAATTAGAGCACTTCATACCACGCTTTTTTACCTTTTCTCTCTCCGTCCCCCCCCCCCCCCCCAGGCTCACATACCCTCTTCACCCGGAAGGTCCGAAACAGCCGAGACCCCCTTCGCCTGGGGAGAGCCCGGCTCCCCCTATCGCACCTATGGAGCAAACCCTACAGTAAGCAGTACAACTTTTTTCTCCTTTCCGTAGCCTGCCATAATTTTCAATAGAATTTTATCTGGTGCTATCAAATTTCATTCTTGATCAACTCAAACCTCGTAGAGCATTAATCGGCAAGCAACTCGAATGTCATTCGACGCAGCATTTCTCCGCTATTCAACGGATGTTTTTTGTTTCAGATTTGTTTTTTTTTCAATTTGAATAACCACCTTTTTAGATTTGGAGCCGGGGCCCAGCACAGATGGTCCGGGGTCAAACTGAACTTCGTTTCTGAGGTCGGAAACAGCGGGGATATCGTTTTTATAAGGTCCTGGACAGTGCGCAGAAAAAGAACGACGAACATGTCAGGTTTTACGTGTTGAACGTGTTCTTTCGCAAGCGCGCGAATTTCAAACGCAAGACTTAAACAAACAAATGGCTTGTTTACAGCGCACAAACAGACATGACAACGAATTTTGGCTATGTTTACACAATATTACTCCAAACTATATTATACAAAAAGTTTGAAAAACTTATGTACTCTAATACCCGTTCCCGAATTTGTTGGTTTCTAGACCAACACCAAACCAACTGGATTGGTTCGGACCATGAATTTCGGAGAGTTCACATAAGTTTTGAACCTTTTTAACTTGGACGATTAGAACGCTTAAAGGTCTATCATATAGTGAAGAGAGCGAGTCAAACCATTGCCTCTCCTCATTTTTGAGCCAAAAATAGTGTAAGCCTGAGTATTGATAGTCATCGCGCCCCAATCACAGCGGCGTCCTTCAAACTACGCGACAAAAAATGCAGCGTCAGATTGTTGAGGGCGCAGATTTGGTTAAAGTGGGAGGTTTTGGACATTCTGAACGCTACATAAAATGGTACCAAACTCAATGACAGAGTCTTTAATCAACTCAGAATGTTTTTAATTTGCTTTTTTGCATATTAGGTACCTCAAAATGGGCTTTTTTCGCTTTTTTGTTGTTATATTGATTTGATAAATGTTTCCCTACTGATTTTTACACCGGAAGGGGCTTCTTAAATTTTCGCGAAGTCATGACTTCGTTTTTCAAAAATGCTCCAAACCAACACGCGCCGGGTCTTGCTTGGAGCTATTATACTCACTTTAGACTCAATGATACGCATTTGCGCACGCAAGCGATATTGTCTCTACTGTCTTCAGATATGGAACAACAGAACATATATGCCAGAAGTCGAGTTATGAGCTGATTATCAAGCACTGCAGAGAATATCAATCGAAGGGCTTCGATTGATATCCTATTTTCAGGACTTTTTTAATTTTCTTACGTTACGACTTTGGACCCGCAAAAGTAAAACTCGCATATTTTAAGCAATCCGATGAAACTTAGTCACATATTTACAAAGTGCCAACACAGAGAATAATCACTTTCATTTACGTGCTTTGATTTAATAGGCTACAGAAGCACGATATACCAAATGATCCTTCTCAACGATCTGTGTAAAATCTATTTTGATCTCCATGAACACCAAAAGAAGCTATAGCAAGAAGACGCAGGGTCTCCAATTTTAGGCAAAATCGCAAATTTGCTCGAGAATTTTTACATTTTTATGGTTCAAACTGTATGACAATACGTGATGCTTTTCCTCAGCAAATGTATTGCTTTCGCTGAACATCAGTACTTTTATTCTCTATGCTTTCTGAAGCTATAATTGATTTTTTCTCTTATCGGGACATATCTCGCATTTATTAAGATATAATTGGTTTTATACTGTATCTTAAGAACATATACACTGCTTACAACAGTCGTTCATCAATCGTTGAGCCTCTCTTACCTCAACGGCACCATTTTGTACAGCTTGACTTCTTAATTTACGTATACAATTGTCGCTCTTTGTTAATTAGGATTACGAAAGGAACTTCGAATGTTGAGCAATTAGCGGCCAAATATTGCTCCAAAAAAGCTTTAGAGATGTGAGGGCTTTTGAAGTAGCTGACATAAAACACTTTCCACACCAGTTTGCTAAAGTTATAGTGGTTGTACTTTACAGGTGTCTCTCTCAATGATTCAAGACAATTATGCCGTTCCATTAAACTCACAACCGCATAAAGTTTAGGGACCCGTCATACTTCGCCGAAAAAGCCCGAAAAGGCCCAAAAAAGTGCAAAAGGGCCAAAAAGAGCCAGAATGCCTTCTCGCAGATTTTGGCATTAGGGTATGTGTGTTGTGTTCGCAAGCCGGTTCTTTTACTTTCCGGTCACTTTATTATTCTTCTTGTTGTATTCTTGTCTCTTCTTGTACTCCAAAACTTGCGAGGGACGTTCCTGCTCTTTCTGGCTATTTTGGGTTTTTTAGGCGCTTTCTGGCTTTTTTCGGCGAAGTATGACAAGTCCCTCATTTTCAAATTGCGTGTTTGAGTCCATGAATTTTACTGTGTTTCTGTAATGGCAGCATTTATCATAACGATAACCTGAATGTCTTATTGCCGTTATCCTACAGTTGCGAAGAATAATACAGGGTGTCCCAAAAAAATGTATCGAACGTTTGACCGTTAATATCTCTCTTCCCAAGAAATCTTTTGCCTTGCTTCAAGTACCGTTTTGTAGAGCTGGCTTCAACTTAAATTTGCGTTATGGAACGAATCACCCATCTCTCTTCATTACTGTAGGATTACAGTATAAACTTGAAACACATGGTGTCGGAAAAAGCTGCCGTTTCAAAATTTTTCAAAAAATTGTGAAAACTTGTGTAATAGGGTTTTTATGGACGCTGAGTTCAGTATTCAACTATTCACAAGATTACGAAGTTTTCTAAACGGTTTAACCGCACTTTTCAAGAACATTGAAAAAAGGCCGCTACCTCTTGCCTGGCATAACTCTTCAATGAAGCATCATAATAAGTTGGGAACTTTACAGTTATAATCAGCAACTCTAATGAGCCTAGTGTAAAAGCTTGCAGGCAGGCTGTTTTGTTTCCTTTCTGAGGCAAAATATGGCCTTTCATTGCTTAAAACCCTTTTTGAAGTTTCTACCGTAATCCTACAGTAATGAAGAGAAATGAGTGATTCGTTCTATAATGCAAATCTAAGTTGAAGCCAGCTCTACAGATTGGTACCTGAAGCAAGAGAAAAGACTTTTTTAGAAGAGAGATATTAACGATCAAACGTTCGATACATTTTTTTGGACACCCTGTAGAACTTATACTATGCCGAGTGATGAATTATGCTGAATTTCTTATAAAATATAACTGAAGGTCCGCTGAGAAGAGAAAAATTAGATAGAATAGTCTACAGTTTACGTTTACGACACTCTATGTGTCCACTGCAGTATTCTTAAACTAAGCTTTAATTAGTGTACCCTTCTAACTTAGGACTCCAAATGCTGCTAATACTGATTCCTTCGTATGTGTACACAATAGCCTCAAGTAAGCACTTTACTACGAAGGAGGAGGAACAGGAGCAACTGGGAAACCAAAACGAATTTCTATCACAGTTTAGTTCCCTGCACTCCTCCAGAACGACTGAAATGCCTGAAAATGCAGCATAATCGGATACCTTGTAACATCTAGACTTAACGCCGACCACTTTTTCTCAGCGTTGCCTCCTTAGTGCATCACTGTGTTTTCGTCTTGCTCTGTTTCCGAATTCGTATCCTTAAATTAACCTTTCAAAAATATTATATTCGCATTCAAATACCTCCTCTTGTCCTGCTGTGGTGGTTATGACGATTTCATCAACTAGAATTTTTCAATATTTTTCTATGTTTTTGCAACTGGCACCTCATCACCTTCTTCGGTCATTGTAGTGTTATCACCTTCGTCGGTCATTGTGGTCGACTCCTCATCTGGCAAAGGTGTGCGTGAATAGTCTGTAAGTGAAATAAGTACTTTTATAATCAAAAGCGTCAACAACTTTTTAAAACCTTCTTCGATAATCTCTGTTGTCTCTTCGTCTTCCTCATCTTGTGGTGTTGTCGAGTATGTTGTAATGTCTGAAATCTTTCACAGTTTCTTATAATTTTGACGGTGTATAGACATTACTGGAGAATTACTGAAAATCTATAAATTTGTACCTTCTGGTGATTCCGTCCAAACGGTTTCACGCGGCAGATGCGGGCGTTTGTCCCATTCGGGTGATGGTCTCAAAGGTCCTGGAACCGGCAGCCAAGGACCAGGCCTCTCCGGATGATGGGGACCACGAGGGCCAAATGGGGGAGGTCCGAAATGACGATGGTGTTCCGGTCCATGCCGCTTAGGAAATATTGAAGGATCAGGCCCGTGATGTTTGTGATGCCTTGGTCCATGTGGCTCAGGAAACATGGGAGAATGGGGATCATGATGTTTGTGATGTCTCGGGCGTTGGAGTTTGAGAGCATAGTCTGCGCTCACAGCCGCTAAATATCAAAAAAAATTTGCGCTATGGAAACACAAAAGTATTCTGAAGCAAAAAACTCAAAAAAATTTACCTGTTACAGCAGCCAATAGGAATAGGGTATGCGATTGCATCGCTGTTGTCTGGAGTTCCTCCCAACCTCCTTATATGTGCATGTCGGCGAAAGCTCTCATGATCAATCACTTGGTGTAGTCACAGCATTGAGCGTCAATTTATGTGTTTATGTTATTTTATGATATACATCTGCTCTTGTCCTCTTTCCCACGTGCATATCGAGCTAAGACTGGTCAAGATTGCCTGATTGTTTATTGCACTCCATAACACATTCTTCAAATGCTGCATTTTCTGAAGCAGCGATTGTAAACGAGACTATAATACGAAGACGAAGGCGTCTTCTTAAATTTACATAATCCGAGATAATAAATCGTATGCATCTACACACGTTTTTGCATTGACAAGATCGTAAAAGGTATCATCAACACAACTTTAACATAGAAGATGATTTCATGACTATCACTCTCACGCCTAAGGAGCACTAGCACATGAAATAGTACAAACGCATAAGCGACGATTAATATATGTAACTAATAGAAAGTAACATAAATAAATATGAAATCAAAGACATTAAATTGAATTAAAGACAAGACGTCGTCAGACATTCTTCGAGCCTGCACTTAAGCTCATTTGAAAGGGCGTGACTTCGTCGACACGATGTTATGCAAACAACTTCAGTTTGAGCACTTCCGGAGATTTTGCAGATGGGGTGAAAAAGCACAGCTTCAGAGGTGATTGGAGTGAAATCTCTTATCAACACCAGAACAGTCTTAGAGCTTCGCAATGGATCTATTACAAGAAGTTTGACAGTTTTGAACTCCCAGGATGGTACTGGTAGCAAAAGGAGCTCTGTTCAACTTTAGCTGGAAAATCCTTAACCTACAACTGAAGCTGCGCTTTTCCTCCCCTTCGGCAAATTCTCCGGATTGCTCAAACTGAATCTATTTGCATATCATCGTGTCGAGGATGTCACGCCCTCCTGAATGAGCCTAAGCACAGATTGCTCGTAGATTGCCTGACCGCTGAGCTACAATTTTGCAAAGCGGTGCAAGTAGTGTTGAGGTTCTGGTACGGTCTTGTGCAGGCATTGTCAGGAGCCACTTTCACCCAAGAAACTCACCAGCACACGTCCGATGCTTGGTGGCAGAGAGCATCATTTTATCCGAACAGCTTTGTTGGGATGCGTTGAATAGGCTTCCTGGTGAAAAAATTTGCTTTGGAAGAGAAAAACAGAAGTTATTATTTTTTTTTTGAAAATAGCAAAACAAAATTCAAGCTTGTTTTTTCGCAAGTAACCACTACCTGATTGTTGTCTTCGATGAGCTCTATGATCTAGTATGCTTACCTCTCCGGAAAACTTTTGTTTTTGCTCGAAAAAAGACCTTGAAAAAATTTTCGCGTTCGCAGATTTATTGTCCGCGACATTGTGACGCGGCCATCTTCAGACTATTTTCTGGGAAAAATTTTTCAAAAATTTTTAGAACATGTTTTCCAGAAAGCGCAATGTGTGGTTTGTAGCTCTTGAAGAGCTTTATCACCTCATGCAATCCAATCATTTTTTCATCCTTCTTTTTCACCCGAAAATGAACGAAGAAAAAAGAAAAGCGACTTGTCCGCAGCTTTTTAGCTGTCACTGTATATGCACCACCAGTATTCCACGCGTGCTCCAATATGGCAATATGCACGCATATTTGCTGCGCTTTGGCAGTTCCGGCGCTCAGGCGGGTTCGGCCGGATTCGGACGTATTTGGGCGGGTTCGGACGGGTACCGGCACGGTCTGAACCATCTTTAATAATTTTTAGTTCCGTTTTTGCGGAAAAAAGTATCCCTTGGTGTTGTTGAGTTGAGACAACAGCCTGCAGGTTTACATGAACACATCGATGTTGATAAAACCCTTATAAGGACCTAATTTTGTTGACAAAGAGTCTCTAACCCATCTGAGCGCAGCTTTTGGAGGATCGACGCATCCATGCGCTTGTGCTTTTGATCTCCGTCTACATGCTGGGACGGTGCGCTATGCAATAATATGGCTCAAGCTGCTGGTTGCAACAAGGATAAATAGAAAATATGGTCCTATTTCGCCTCTACCCTAGACAGGTGGACTATAAGCACTGATTACTCCCGAGATTCATCAGTAGGGTGGAGTGATGAATGCTGGAAAAGTAGGACAAGTTGGCCAAGGGCCGAGGGGGGGGGGGGGGTCAAATGATATGAGATCAAATACGTGTCAGCTAACTATTAATCGCTTGAACAGATTTCTGAAGTTCATAAATTTTTGGATCTGTGAGTATTGGATTCACTTGAGTGTGGATCTCATAAGTTTCAGAAAGGCGCCGGTGATCAGGTCTTTTTTGTAATCCAATTTTATGAGCTGTGTAGTTGACTGAATCTGCTTTTGAGATTGAATTGCGATCGAATATTCTAATTATTGTGTACACGATTGCTATCTTCTGTTTGTAAGCTATGATGTGACTGTCGCAACAGGGGTCGTAAAAGGGACACCAACGATGGGGGAGAGGGGTTTTAAAGGCAATGGCTCGGCAAATCTCAACTTAGTCAAATTTGCACTTATGTAGGTTTATTCAAAACGCTGATCCCGAAAATCCACTTTTGAAAGCTTGAAAACGGCGAAAATGAGCGTTCTACTGCGGCAGCCTCCAATGGTGAAAAGGAAATTGCCAACTCGTCCGAACGCGTGTAAGATTGGCCTGCGCGTGTAAGTTTGAAAGCAATTCTCTCGGCAGGGAAGGGATGCTGTGCAACCGGGACTGCACTGTTTTCATATTTGGGCGATAAGGAATCTACCGCGTGTTGTTGGATTTTGCCGATCCACTGCCTTTAAGAGCGGAGTTCGGATAAAAAACTGCGCGCTCAAAAGATATTCGAACTGCAAATGATTATTGCATATTTCAATAGTTCCATAAAATGCGTTTTCATTCTCAATTCTTTGCTTCTCAAAAATAGCATTTCTTTTCCTTGCAAGGAATGGTGTCGCAAACCTGCACATCGAATCTGCTGGCCTCCAGTATGATCGGGAATTCAAAGAAACATTTTGGAAGCACAAAACGCTTTTAAGGCATGTAAGTGTTATACAGATGTTAAATGTACCGAGTGGCCTAGAATAATCCAAGTAAGCCGCACTGATGCCTCTCGCACCCTACAAAAGCGCATATCTCTACCAACGATAACCATTAATAAATTGTAAATACTTTTGTAATGTTTTCCGTATGGCCCACACAATTTAGTTGTACTTTGCAAATTCCATACTACATCTGCGCGAAACTTGGTCTTATCATATAGCCTCTGAATTTTCTTGTAATTTTATATATGGCAACAAAAAAGGGAATCAAGAGTGGATCGCATCTAAGTTTCTCCGGAGCTACGAAGTTATGTTCGCTGCAATTTTGCTAACGTTGCAATCCTAGAAAATCAAGCTGTTTCGCTGCGTCTTCAGTGAGTTACAAAAGCTCACCCAGTTTCTGGTTTTTAAGAGGGCTTCCAATTTTGCTAAATTCGCAGCTAAATTTTATCGGTCTCACTGCTCTTAAATGGCTGCAATTTCTTCCTTCAGTGACCCGGGCACTATACTGCACAATTCATGGCAGCTTCGCTGCATTTTCCTGTTAGTTACGAATTTTCAAATGCTGTAGTAGTAGTATCTTTGAAGATTTTTCAAGTTCATGCGCGTACCATCATTATAATCTGAAGCCTTCTTAATCCAGAACCATAACAAATGTCTGTACATCTATTGAAACAAGAATAGTTTACTCAAGTATTATTTATTTATTTAGTTATGCCGAACACTCATGAATCGCTGAAGAATTTTATCCGTCATTAGAGATTAAATAAAGCCAAATTCAATCTCCCCGCCCTCGAAAATGACCTTGGTGCTTGATTTTTTCGTGATGAAAAGAAAGCGAAAGTTCTTGGAGCCTATTTTGCTAGCGTCTTCACTTCTACGGACAGTAGTGCATCTGCAGTTGGCAATATTTATGATGTGCAAGGGAAATTGTCCTCAGTCTTCTTTGAATCGCATGAAGTGTGCCGTATTTTGAAGCACCTCAAAAACTCCGCTACTGAAACATTGACGGCATACCTCAGATCGTATACAAGAAGTGTTCCTCATCTCTGTCCAGACCATTGGCACATATATTCAACAGATCCATGTCATTAGGAAAGGTGCCCGCACTTTGGAAGCACGCCCTGCAAAACCTATCCCTAAGGTCCAGGGCGCTAAGCGGGTGAGGGATTTTCGCTCTATTATTCTGCTACGTACACCTGCCAAAGTCATAGAAAGTGTATAAGAGATAAGCTTGTGTTCTGGGTTGATAAAGCTGGCAAGGTTCCCTGCTGAGCAGCATGGTTTCATCAATGGTGCCTCAACGACAACAAATTTGGTTAGCAGTATTTATGACTGGACTCTTGCCTTAAGTAGTAAAAAACTAGCTTGCTTACCCGGTTCCGCCCGGCCCTGTCACACTGTAATAAAGGTCCCATCCCTATCCCTATACAGCCTTCCCTGTGCCCACTTCTACAATTCATTTCTCGTTCCCTGTGTTGTTTTCGAAATCAGCATGCCCATATACCCCCCTGTGCCAACTCCCAGCCCTGTCGAACTATGAAAAAACCGATAAAATCAATAAAAGTAATAGGTAATACCAAAACTAATATTGTATTTGGAATCGTCATGCCCACTCCCCCCCCCCTCCTGTGCCAACTGCCAGCCCCGTAGGTGAACTCTGCAAAAAAATCGATAATTCTGAAAACTAATATTGTATTTGGAATCATCATGCCCAGTTACCCCCCTGTGCCAACTCCCAGCCCCGTAGGTGAGCTCTGCAAAAAAATCGATAAAAAGCGATAAAATCGATATCGATCGATGACGAAAAGTAGCCTATGACAAGCTCCCGGCCTCGAAGGGTATGTGTGCCAAGTCTGGCCTAAATCGGTTCAGAAATAAAAATTTCTATCCCGCACATACGTACACACAGAGATACAGACATACACACAATTTTTTATATATAAGATGTGTGGATGTGCTTTAGCTTTTATATAAGATGTGTGGATGTGCTGTATATTGATTTATCTAAAGCATTTGATAGGGTCTGTCATGATGTGCTAGTGAAGGAACTAATGATAGGCATTGATGACCCGATGCTCGCATGGTTTGATTCGTATCTGCACAACCGCTATATGACTGTGAGAGTTCATGACCGATTTTTGGACACCCTTGTGCAAGTGGTCTTCCTCAAGGAGGAGTTTTATCTCCTATATAATTCCTTATTTATACGATGGAATTGCCTAACTTACTCCATACTTCTCGAAAGGTTAAATTGCAAATGTTACAGATGATATAAAGGTATACGGAATGTACGATGCAGAAGATCGAATTTAGGTTCAGTCAGCTTTACACTTGTCTCTTTCCAATCTGGTTGATTGGGCGACGACTTGGATTCTAACACTAAATCTTGACAAAAGCTGCGTATTGTATATAGGGAACTAGCTGGCTTACCCGGCTCCGCCGTATCCGGACCAAACTTGGCACACATACACTTCGGGCCCCGGCGGGTGTCACAGTCCACTTTTCGTTATCGATCGATGTCGATTTTACCGATTTTTATCCATTTTTTTGCAGAGTTCACCTACAGGGCTAGGAGTTGGCACAGGGGGGAAGTGAACTTGGGGATTCCGAATACAATATTAGTTTTCAGAATTATCGATTACTTTTATTGATTTTATCGATTTTTTGTAAATTTTGACATGCAAGGCTGGGATTTTGCACAGGGGGGTAATCGAGCATGCTGATTACGAACACAATATTAGTTTTCAGGATCGTCCATTACTTTTATCGATTTTATCGATTTTTTTGCAAAGTTTGAGCTACGGGGCTGGGAGTTCGCACGGGGGGGTAATCGAGCATGCAGATTACGAATACAATATTAGTTTTCAAGATCGTCCATTACTTTTGTCGATTTTATCGATTTTTTGAAAATTTGAGCTAGGGGGCTGGAATTTGGCACAGGGGTGTAATCGAGCATGCTGATCACCCCCCTTGGGAATGATCAGCATGCTCGATTACCCCCCTGTGCCAACTCCCAGCCCCGTAGCTCAAACTTTGCAAAAAAAAATCGATAAAATCAATAAAAGTAATCGATAATCCTGAAAACCAATATTGTATTCGGAATCCCCATGCTCGATTACCCCCCTGTGCCAACTCCCAGCCCCGTAGGTGAACTCAGCAAAAAAATCGATAAAAATCGATAAAATCGATATCGATCGATGACGAAAAGTAGCCTATGACACCCGCCGGGGCCCGTAGTGTATGTGTGCCAAGTTTGGTCCGGATCGGTTCAGAAATGGAATTTTCTATTCGGAACATACGTACATACATACATACAGACATACATACAGACAGACATACAAACAGACATTCAGCTTTATATATAAGATGGTTGTGCAGGTACTTATGTGGTTGAGGATCTTGCGTTGAGGTCATGCGGCTCAGCTAGGGACTTAGGAGTGCTTGTTAACGCTAAACTAAAGTTTTCTGAACATATCGATGCTGCTGTCAGAAAGGCTTACACCTCCTTATTTGTGCTGCTGCGCACCGTAAGGAGTAACTCGCCTACTCTAGTGACACGTCTTTACAAAGCCCTCATTCGCCCCCATCTAGAATACTGCTCCCAAGTTTGGAACCCCCCCCCCCCCCCCAGAAAAAAAAATATTTGCAAAATAGAAAAAGTGCAAAAACCTTCACGCGTCTCTTGTACAGGCGAGTCTACTCTGATAACAGTATACCAAATTATAATGTAAGGCTTAGAATGTTCAAATTACATAGTCTTTCATTTCGTCGCAATCTCTCAGATTTAGCGTTTTGTTTTCAAGTTTTGAAGGGTGAAAATCGCTTGAAGGCAAGTAAATATTGGATATTCATGCCAGCTAGTGAAGGGTCGGGAGGATTTAATTTGCACTACGCCAAAGTCAAAAAGCAGCATCTTGCAAAAATGCACAGTAATATATTCTGCAAGTCTGCTAGATGGTTTCAGCGGTTGCCTATGGATGTTATGTGTTCTCAGACTGCACGCTCCCTCAGGGCTAAGTTGATGAGAGCTGACACACAGCTTGCATCCCTAAGCTTTCTGGAATGATTTTAATTTTGTCGTTTTTCAGTTACCACTTCTCTTCTTGGCTTTATGGCTGTTGATGTTACTAGCATGTCGGTTTTCGGTCCGCACGGTCATCTTTCGGAGCAGAGTCCTGGGGTTCTTCAGTAGCAGCTTGATTCTGTATCTTGGTTATATGTATTGGTTGTTACTAACCATAAGCATCATTAACTAACAACTGAACCAGCCCGGCTCATTCGTCAGAAGCTTTATAACACCCCTGAATCTTGCTTTCTCTAAAATAAAGCTTTAATAGGGTCAGGTCAACAGCCTTACCGGCGGCTCGTTGACACCAGGGTCAAGCTTGTGATGCGACTGTCGCAACGGGGGGTCGTAAAGAGGGTACCTGAGGTAGGGGGGGGGGGGGTCGTAAGAGGAGGTACTTAGGCCAAAATACTCTAAGCTTAAAAGAGAATCAAAAAGCAGATAGTTAGTTTTATTCTTTGCAATAAATCTATGAAAACGTAGAAATCAGATTAAAAAAGATAAAAAATTCTCAAAAAAATTTAAAAGAGCTCAAAACTTTAGAATGTATGATTTCATGAAAATGCTAAATGTACCGATTGCCCTAGAAATTTTGCCTTTGAAGCCTTTCTGAAGTCTCACAGACTCGACAAAAGCGAATATCTTTATTACCTGTGACCATCATGAACTTCTAAATCTTTTTGTAATGTTTTTCACGGGCCCACATGATTTATCTGTACTTTGGAGATACTCTGCTATATCAATGCAAAATTTGGTGTTATTCTGTCAACTACGGATTTCCTTATGATTTTATGTATGGTAGCCAAAGATCAGGAAAGGGGGTCGTATCTGGGTCGCATCTTAATTTCTTCGGAGCTATTGAAGCTTGTTGGCTGCAATTCTGCTGTAACATGAGGCCATCCTCCTACTTTCCCTCATAAAAATTGCAGGCTGTTTTATAATTTCTCTGGTAAGTTACAAAATTTTAAGCTCAAAAATCCCAGTTTTTTCTTTTTAGGATCGCATCTAAATTTGCGAGAGTCGCATCTAAACTTTTTCGAGCTTAGTGCTCCTCAAGAGCTGAAACTGGATAGCCTGGGCACTATACTACAAAACCTGTGCTTTGCAGCCTCTCAGTCTTTTCCTGGCCTTGGTTACGAATTTTCAAACTACCGTGCTCATGCACGTTTTTGACGTCGTTCTGGAAGGCGCTCAAGCGGTTTTTTTCGCGGGAAAAACTGTGGAAAAAGGTAGGAAGTAGGCTTATTAGTCGAAAACATCTTTTATTGTTCAAGAATGTCATCGTTTTTTCTGTGCAAAATTTGTGTTGCCTGCGGGAGTCGAATTTGCTGGTCTGAAGTATGCCTGAAAATTCAAAAAAAAACTTGCAGAATTTCAAACATTATTGAAGGTGTGTATGTGTGCTACAGATGCTGGATGCACCCATCGGCCTAGAAATTCTGCTTCCGAAAACCTTATTGAAGTTCTCACGCAGGTGTTTTTTGAGATTGACATTCATTTATGCAGGTTACCGCGAGGAATTTGGGCAGGGGAGGTAAGGGGACAGATAGGAGGGGGGGGGGGGAATAGATGAGGTGGGGGGGGGTCGTAAATGGGGGTCCCGGATCGCATCAATACGCTTGACCCTGGTTGACACCCAAAAATGGGGTATCTTTGATTTTAGAGTATGCAAGATTCATATGATTGTTTTTGATCAAGTTACTTTCGTTCAACTTTACAAGGTGGGTCTAGAGCTTCGTGTTCTGTTTTATTCCGTATTCTTTTATATTCTCTTGCGGCTGAGGCTGGCTGGTCTTATTTGTCTGTTTGTTTGGGTCTTGTTTTTATTTCTTTTCTCATTCTCTCGAGTACATTTATAAAATAAAATAAAATAAAATAAATGATCAAATCAATCAATTATAACGGTTGAAGTGAATTGATCGATTGAAGTGTCTTCTTGGACTTTTCTTCAGTTCATTTTACTCAAGTCATTGTGTATAATTCAGTTTAGACGGTTGGCAGTTCAAATATTGGTATCAGATCAAATTTGATGTCCTTCTTCGTCAAGACTATCCGTCTTTGCAATGCCATAGTAGAGTACAGCCATATCTTCGCAGAATTTCCTACTTATCCAAAATAAGCAAACTTTTATTGGGAGGGTTTTGAGCATCAACAAAATAGATTCTCCTTTCTTTGACTCACAAAATCCTATTCAAGGTCCAGTCGCATCCTTTGAGGTGAACTGACATTCGTTGATACAGATCCAAAAAAGAATATTTTAGTAGTTTCAGAATATTTCGCAACTTTGTTCTGGACGTATGGCACACGCAATTTTTGTCCACCATCGGCTCCGAAACAAAAGCGGCATCACTGATTTCTCATTTGGCGATGTGGATGTACTGGATAAGTATGTTGTGGGACTAACACCGATCAAGTAAAACAAGGTCACCTCCTTTCGATATTCATGATTGTTTGTTAGAGAACTTTTATTTTTCATGAAAGGAACACGATATGCTAATAACTGAGTGATGTGCTATACATTTATGAAGAGCGCAGGAGTGCAAACACACAACACCAGGTCCTGCATGTAACAAAACAATCGTGACGAGAAGGGACAAAATTCGGCAACAAATAAACTGGTGCTACAAGCACCTACGCGGACAGTTGCACACACAATGAGCAACTCGAAACTGGAAATGAGCAGTGGCCTATACTCAAGGTAATAGATTTTTGCTTATTGGATCATCCGAATGATATTTGTCACGACAGATGCCGCGCACAGCAACCTGGTGCGGTGGACAGGCGGCTTCACATTTCTTCACTATGCGTTCCCCTACGATTCGTAGTACTTGGACTTGTGTTCCTGGGCATGGTCCTGAAAAAAATAATGCATGAGTTGAGTATTTTCTTGCATCACTAGTTAGCAAGCTGCTAATATTTTCGAAATAAATTAGAAGTCTCTAGGTCACTTGCGGCGTCAGCTGAGCACTCTCATTTCATCTAAAAAACTTTATTCCGTGTACTGCAATAGTAGCGAACTAAGTAAACCTCAGCCCAAATTGCCATGTAAGACCGCGCTTATGTGCTTTCATAGAAGGCACTGCCCATACAGATTCTCGACTTCATGTTTTTGTCACTCTGAAGGATAGGGAGCTCTATTCTGTGTTGTCAAAAGCACAAGAACCCTAACTTGGGGTGGACGGTGCCTCTAAAGGTAGCAGATGTTTACACTTCATTAGATCTCTAAATCAGGCAAGTTAGTATCAGTGAATAGGTGTTTGGAAGTCTTTTCATCACGTTTTGTTGCCAATAATGGGGAATGAGGATCTTTCGAACACGAGCGCCACCATTCTGCAAGTGCACACATTTCCACCCACTAAAGTATAAACAAAGCTATAATGGAGTAATGGCTTCAATCTTACCAACATTATGAGGGTGATATTAGGATAAACATGGAAGCGAAACGTTTGTTCCGCATACTAGGGTTACAAAACGGTAAATATCAGTGGAGAAAAAAATTGCCCGACGCTTCTGCGATGCGATTTAATGATCAAACAAATTATTAGTCAGCTAGCAATCTTGGTTTTTTGCAGGCTAGTCATTGATACAAGTATGCCATACAAGCTATCTACTACATCTTGTTTTTTTACCTCAAAATAAGAAAATTATCTCGCAGTCTAACGACCATTCAGTTTGCATAATGCTAATTATGAAAAATACGACCTTAGTTTTTGAATTTTTGTTTTGTTTGAGATTATCAATGGAGCACCTACCGTTTCCAAACTCCTTCTTGTTATTGACAACTTTTGGTGGTTCCGGTCGTTTGACTGGAGTGTCGTTCACCGAGCAGCATTGGAATCCCTTCGTGTGGACGTTACGTACGCATCTGTAGCCTGTTGGGCAGGATCTTGAACCAGTGTTACTGCACTGTACAGGCGTGCCCGTAGATGGGAAGAGCAGCGCCGTTCCTGTAGGACATCCGAATGTTGCACTGAATTGCGAGCAGCAGAAGTAGTTCTTGTGGGTTCTGGAGAACGAGCATTTGTATCCAGATGGGCATGGAGCATTGGTGCAAAGCTTTGGTTGGCCGTTCATAAGGTATGGTGAGCCTTTGTCGCACACATCTGGTTTGGCTGTGGTGGTGGTGGTGGTCGCAGAGGTTGTATCCTCTCCTGAATCAACGTCAGGCTTAGGCCCACGATTTTCGGTGATTTTTGAGAATCTAGGGATGCCATCACCTCCGCCGCAGCAGATACTCTGCTGAGCAGTTTCTGAAAACTGGCAGCTGTACCCTCGTGGACAGGAGTTTCGACTTGGCTGACAGAACCGCACATTGTTGGTTACTTTGTCGATGTAAGGTGTCTGTCCAGGTATGGGACAAGTGGTAACCTTGCGCGAGTTCATCTTCCTCACACATACGCCGTCAACCACCTCTTCGCCATCAGGGCATTCACAACGGCCTCCGTCGCAGCTGGAGCCACCTTGGCATTGTTCATCTGCTTCGCAGTCGTCACCGATTTCGACTTTGGGAAGGCATGTGCCTTTCACGTCTACTTCGTTTTCGCCGCAGCCTACTTGGCAAACGCCATTCACGAAGTGTTGGCCTTCAGGGCAGGTACACTTCTCGTCTCGGCAAATGGTGCTGGTAGGGCATTGGACCTGGTTCGTACAGTGTTCGCCAAAAGCGACTCGGTTCAGGCAGACGCCATCGACAAGGATTTGTTGTTCGGTGCATGCTGAATGAAGAAATATAATTTAATTTTGACAGAAAAAATGAAGAGAAGGAGAGCGGTGAGATAAAAACTTACTGGGCTCATTCGTGGTGCAGCACAACTGCGATCCAGTGATACCTCTCTGACAAGAGTACCCTTTCGGACAAGTACTTTGCCCAATAGCACAACTTTGAGGTTCACCCGTGATTCCAATAAACGCCACCGAATCGTTCGGGCATCCACCAGACATTCCACAACATTGGAACTGATTGTTCGTTGTAGAGAACTGACAGAAATAGCCTGTTGGACAATTCTGTGTAGCTGCTGTACAAATTCTTGGCGCATTGGTGGCGACATCACGAAAAGCGACTTGGTTGTTTGGACAACCGAGTGCGGCGATCGACTTCGGTGTGGTCAGAGGTGTCGCTCCACAGCACTGGTAACGTTGGTTAGAAAGTGACCATTGGCAGGAGTAACCATTGGGGCAGGGAGCATTTGGTGGGTTGAATGGATCGCAAGGAGCGATCTGGTTGTCCTTCATGTAGACGTACTCGTTTGGAGGACAGCCATCTGGAACAATATGCTGATGTGAATTTTTCCAAGAAAAAAATTATTCACCATTACCAGAAACAGATGAGACCTCTCCCTTGCAGCAATGGCCAGTAGTGAACTCAGTCTGTGTACTCTGGCAGCTATAACCAGTGGGGCAAGTAATGAAAGCTCCGACGGTGCAAGATCTTGGCATCTGGCTGTTCTCCTCAAGGTAGAATTCTGCTTTATTGGGGCAGATATGACTAGCCGAACAGCAATATCCTTGAAATGCTCCAGGAACATCAGACTGGCACGTGTAGCCATTTGGACACTGATTGCTGCTGCTACTGATTGTACATCTAAAAAAGCAAACGTCTACTCTCATATGAATCACTTAGAGACCGTTCACCCATATTTGAGGTAGGTGAAATTTTGATGCAGCATGATAGAGGCTAGGTTATTGCCGAAGACCTGCTGCGAAATGTGTATTACGAAGCAAGAAAACTGCTCCAGAAGGTGGATGCTGCTGAGGTCACCACGCCCATCAACATAGATGCCAGAATAAATGTCGCAAATGCGACTACTCAATGAAAGGCGGCATTCCATACCATTGAGTCCAATTCCGAATTACCTTTGGACCACCCACGTGGTGGGCGTGGCGACCCCAGCAGCATCCTCTTTCGAGTGACTTTCTCGCAAAGTCACCTTTTGCAGCAAAGATTTGACAATTATTTTGTTAAAGACCTCATTATTGTGCTGCATCAACATTCCACCAAACCAAATCTGGAACGATGAAGAAATTTTTACCTGATGGGTGCCTTAGAGGATGGTTCACGGTAAAGAGCTTTGCCCGCTGGACATAGGTCTCCAGTAATTGAGGCGCAACAATAGTAGCGGTTCTTTAGAGCATTGAAGCGACAAAGATAGTTGCTGGGGCAAGAGCCCTCGACATTGATAAGACATTCCCGAACGCTCATATCCACAGCGTTCACATAGGCTTTTTCACCTTCGGGGCAGACCTCTGAAAAAATTCTTTTGCTTGTTATCTCGCTAGAATGGATAAGGAATGACGTACCCATATGAGTAGCTCCACAACAAACGCTAGTTCCGGACAACTGATCATAGGTGCAGGCAAAGTTTGTTGGACAACTGTTACTCAAAGCAGCATTGCACTCATAAGGCATATTGGTGTTAGGATTCACATAGGCGACATCTCCTGGAGTACAGGCAGCCGATAGGCAGAAGTTGTTACACTGCTCGATGGTTCCGAAATTATTCAAATTGCCACTGCAGCCATTATAAGTGAACTGGGTACACTCCTTAGTCACAATGTTGAAATAGTAACGAGCTGCTGCTGAAGAGGAACAAGCGCTGCCTTGCTGGGGCGGTAGCGAACAAATGTAGGAACGAGTGGGACAGCATCGATTCACCACACTGCTTCCAGAATTCACCGATGTGCATTCATGCGTGGTTGGACAAACTTGGGTAGCTGAACACACCATCAGCTGACCGAACTCGTTTCTTTCGGGTGTACCACCGGATGGGCAGCCACCGACACTGCAGTAGCTTTCGCAATCGTCTCGAGTAGCGAAGTTGTTAGAATTTCCATCACAGCCGTTATATTGGAAGCTTTCGCATTCTTGGGTTTGGCTGTTGTAGAAGTAACGGTAAGAGGATCCACTGCCACATGTGACTCCTTTGTGGGGTGAGAGTGTGCAGGTATAGGCTGAAATAGGGAAGGATTGCATTATCAAGTCCATTGTAACACAGTATGTGTGTCTGCACACTGCGCGCGGTAACCGACGACACCTTGATAATAACTCGCCAGTAAAAATTTCTACAGTGGAACATGTGAATTGTGCACCACTGTTTTATACTCATCTGAAAGCTAAAATGGAGAAAAAACAAGATTTTCTTTAGTCCAATCGGGAAAGACGTGAGGCAGCGCGCTTTTTGTGCAATACGCACAGTCAATTACGAATGCTCGACGATATTTATTTTGGATCATATGGTCTAGTCTGCGGTAGTCGATTTTGAGATCGTAGCAAACAGGAAGTAGTCATTGAGCAGATAATCAGCAGATAAATAAGTTGGTTTGTCATTATTTACACTTGGGGAGGGTTCTTTGCTAATGTGTGCATTTGCACAATTTTCAGAAAGGGGTGCAGACATTCTTGTTTCTGCGTTTCTTCTTGGTTTTCGTTGTTGTTTGGACATTAAGTAGAGATGCGGCAGTTTCGGGCAGAGGAACGAACTCCGCCAGTTTGAACCGCCTCCGCGGATTACTGGTCCTGCAACGACATGTGCAACAGTATAGCAAAAGGACCTCTTGCCAGCGAAGTCGGGCTCAAACTGGCGGAGTTCGTTCTCTTACCCCGCAGTTTACATATCATTGATTTCTCCTATGAGAGAAGTGCTTCATCGTCAACATTCTGGAAAGTGTGCAACTGCACAAAATCCTTTTGTATCTATGCGCTTATAAGGTAGTATTTTGTGAATACATTAAAGAAATGTACCTTTGGTGGGACAACATCCCCAGACGTAACCGTCGAAATAGCACTCATAATTGACTGGGCAAGAGTTTCCAGCTCCAGAATTCGAGCAGACATAGTAGTTACCCTGGTAGTCCTTATAAGCATCTCCCTGTGGGCATTGTGGCTCAGCTGAAAAATTTCAACGGTAGCAAACTCGTATCCCGAAATCCATTGAACTTACGAATAATGTTCTCGCATGTGTTCTGACACTCGAGCAGTGTTTCAAAATTGTTATCGTTGCCCTGACATCCGGTATAGTCGAAAATCTCGCAAGCTCTCGTCACAGCGTTGTACCAATAGCGACGCACGCTCTGCTTACAATCACCCAATCGTAACGGTTGCGAACAGATCGCTTCTGCAAATAGCTAGCGGATATTAGCGTTTGCACGAGTCAAGAGCGACACGCGGTTAGGACACGGAAACAATGAGTCAGTAAGGTGAACGAGTGGGGGGAAGAGGGGGGGGGAAGAATGTACGAAAAGTGGGCATCGTTGCATGGGTAGGTCTGGCTTTAGGTTGAGTAAGTTTGAGGAGGAGAAGTCAGATCGTCGAAGTGATCCTTGGCACAGATGAACACTTTTTCGTTAGGGATACGGTAACTTCATATAAGTGTGTTATCATGGCGGAAAAAGGCACAGCAATTATTGTTACGAATGAAAATTGAAGAGCTGATTGGGAAGAAAGTAGTGAGCAATAAATTTAACGATTCGACTGTGGTGTTCTTGTCTTACGGACAACATTCGCGCTAATCAATGGCAACATGCGCTTCAATGCCATTTTCGCGCGCAAGTGTCAAGCAAGTCAAAGCATGACGCCTATTTCCGCGCAAATGTTGTCATCAGTGCGGGGATACCATATCAAACAATTTTACTAGATTTTGAGGTGGAAGGCGCATACTATCGCATTTTAGCGATTCTACTAGCGATTCCAAAATTTTTCTGAAGATGTCAGCATTTTTTTTTTGCGCGCAGAGAGACTACACGCTGTTGCATCTGATGAAAAGAATACGTACATGGAAGAGGTAGCAGAGGGTCACAGAAATGAAAGCTATGTAATCTAAGAGGCGCCGACAGAGTCCGCAGTGGCATTCCATCCCTGCGTGCGATGAATGGCGTATAGTTTTCTCGCAAGTTTGAGAATCAGCTTGCATATGGAATTTCAGGGATAGTAGCGGGTTAGAAAAAATTATTTTCATCGAAAGTAGGCTTTGAGGAAATGTTGTGAATCAATATTAGACATACCAGTGTAAAAACATGGAAGGATTAGGTGAAAAGAGGCATGGTATTGTAAAATGAAAATAGTAAAAACTGAGAAAAACTTACGCGGTCGTGGACAGCAGACATTGTGATCACTTTGACATTCATGAGTGCTTGGACAGTCGGCATTATTGCTACAGCGTTGATTGGCAGCACCGATCTTTAGCGGAGTACCGTATTTGCATTGTAGCTTAGCGCAGAATAAGTCACAATCGGCTGCTGATTTGAAGTTGTTGAAATTTCCAAGCGCTCCGTTATAAGTAAAAGCGATGCAGCGACCCTGCTCGGCATCGTAATAGTATCTGAACCAAAAATTCAAATTTTCCCTTCCAACAACAGAAACTCAAGAAAAACAAACCTGCTAGATGTAGAGAAAGTAAGGCTAAAGCTTCTCTTCATACTCATTCCTGGATCGAAATTTGTATGACGAATAGCATCAACTGGTCGACCTCCGGTGTTACTACAGATTGAAGCCACTGTGGGACAACACATTTGCATTGATCCGATGGTGGTACATTCATAGTTGGAAGTACAAGAAGAAGCTGTTTGGCAGTTGTTAATAGGTTCATCCTCGTTTTGTGAGCTTCCGGTAACGTATTGAGGTGATCCACGTTTGCAAGCTGAAAAAACGAATAATGAATTTATAAATTTTTTCGAGGTCGTGTCTAGCGCAAATAGTGGTGCACAAGTCCCCGTTTACGTCTTCAGTGAAGTTAAGCAAGCTTTTCGTTAAAATCACAGTGTTCCGGGAGTGTGAATCATGGCAAAAATTTTATTGCTGACCGGCCGCGTTTTTTCCGACCTTCCAAACATGAGCTTGCTAGATAGAAGATGATCAGTGGTTCATCAACAAACCCTGAGGGTTAAACTTACCCTGGAAAGTAAGCTTGACCCCAGAGCGTGATTAACTCGTATTCATGAGCGTGATTCACCAGGGTAAGTTCAAACCCAGTATAAAGCAGGGCTAAATTTACCTTGAACACTTCGTACAAACAAGAATTCTTAGAATAGCTTCAAAGGCAGTAAAGAAACCTTAAAGTAATTCGAAGATTCAAAAACAGACTGCCAAAACCATTTATTTTGCAATCTTCATAAAAGTTGGGCTAAAAATTTTTCAGTACGCAATGAGCAAATGACTTCCGCAAATATTCATTCAATCATGAAAATTTTAGTCTCATTTCCGCAAAATAAACGGTAATTAACAATTTTCTTTTCAAAGTGATTTGAAGCTCTAAAGTTTTTATTTGAGTTGGAACATATGATATGCATAAAGCAATAGTAGCTCGATTTAGAAGATTAAATCTCTCTAGAAGAAAAAAGGAATTTACTGTGAGCATTTATTTACTGTTGGCTTATATCATCGAATTCGTGATGAGACAGCGGCTTTGAAGAAAGGTGTGCTTAGAAGCTTAGATAGCCCTAGCAAACATGGGGGGAATTTTTTGTTGCCTCCCACAGTTTGGCCCAAAATAACACAGATCAAGGTCCCCGCCCCGTTGAGCTTCCAAAATAACGTGACATTCCCCGTTTTCTCGGCGCGATTCGACTTTTGTGTGAGCCGCTGCGTCTTTTTCTTCAGCGCGAGTACAACATGGCTATTTGAACGCGCGCGTGCTACGATGGACCAGCGCCGTCGTCGTCGTCGTAGCGCGGATTATTGAGTGTGTTTGCTCACTTGACCCACGGTCAAAGCAGCCACACGCAAAGCGACGAATTCCGATTGCAAGAGCGCAACAAACTGTGATCATCCGCCTACGCCTTAGCTTGGACCGGGGAGGAGCTGGGTTTAATGGCGTTCTTTGGGAAAACTCACTGTCTCGGCAGTAGGACTCGCAATGTTCGCGAGTTTTGAAGTTATTTGGCGATTGTGGCTCGGTCTCATCCCAGGGATCCCACATGAACTGCTCACAGGTTCCCGTGACAGCGTTGTACCACCACCGGGGTCGCACTCCTGCTGGTGCGGCAGCGCCAGTGTCGGCTTCGCGTTTCGGTTGGATGCAGGTGAAAGCTGAAATGGGAATTTGAAGCTTTTCCAATTAATTAGGAATCTTATAGAAATTTATCCGTATGGAGAATTTCAGAATTTGGATAGAGATTTGGCTAGTGAGATGATTTTCGGCACCATCCGCATGCAAATAAAGAATCGAGATTAGAAATCAAAAATCATTTATTCTGAATTATTTTGGCCCTCATTTGATAATGACTGACTTTAGTGGTCAAGCGATAGGTTCTATAATCTTTACTCTATCCACAAACGAGCAACCAAACCAAATGAAGCTTTTACCATGTAGGGAATAAGGTTGTAAATAAGGCGTATCGCACAAAAAAAGGTGAAAATCAAGTGCCAGCATAATAGCTTTTCTCTAAGTTTTGGTTGAAGAATTGAGTTATTTGAATAACTAGTTATTCTTAAAGGTAATGAACAAACCTCTGTTTGGACAACAGATTCCATCAGCAGCCGGACTAATGTCATAAACTCCTTCCATAGCAGTCTTAACATTGGCCATAGAAGCTGTTGAGGTAACGCAATCGTAGATATCAGCGATAAAAATGCCATCTCCACTCTGTGGATCTTGCGAGTAGACGCAAGCTCCACCACCGTTGGCGACGAAATTTGTGTAATCCGTGGATGAAGATGAGCAGAACTGTAGCGGATTTACATGCTCGCCCATTTCCACATCCGAATCGTCTGGATCAGTCATCGCCGGATTTCTCAGTTGCGATACAGGCATAGTCAAAAGGTCGTCATCATACTCCGGTAGAGGGCATTTTGGGACGGGATCGCCGTCCTCACCCGAATGGAGGATACAGATGACACCGTCACGAGTTTTAGCCTGTACGTATGGGATACCATTGACGTCTTCTGGGCATTCACAACGAGATTTTTCGCATCGACTCTCTGGCCAAACGGCGCTACACTGTTCGGCATACTGGCAACCGCTCTCTCCCGGATTTTTCTTGAGGTAGCAGTAGCCTTGTATGGCGACGAAATTACTGAGGCACGTGCACGAGCCAGTCGAGCAGAACATTCCCTATAAAGTAGGAAAACAATCAATTTGACATGAAATTTTATTTGCTTGAGAAAAATTAAGATTTCCGCTTAATGCGAATAATTTTTCCTCCTAAAGATGAAAACTACAAGAATTTTGCGTACTTTGGTTTAAAACTATGGAACTGCCAAAAGAAGAGATTTCTTGGGCTTTTGAGGTTCTCTAATTGTGAGTAGAGTGCGTCATAATTGACTGTCTTGCGCGGATAACTAATATGCGCTGTAATGTGTTGACACGCATGGTTTGTGGCAAATCTCAGCGCGGGAAAAGCTGTCGGGACATAATTTTCTTGGCCTTATTTATATGTCTTAGTAATTTCTTTAAGTAGAACAGTATGCCGGCTGTAAAAATTTTTGAAACTTTTTTCGCTGGTCAAATTGCATCTTCAAAATCATTCCAGAAGCTCAGATGTCTTTTTTGGAAGGAAAATGGAAAAAAGTGTTGTTTCAAGGAATCTGTTGCCTTACCGTCAAACAATCCGTGTTGAAGGAGCAGAAATCACCGACTCGACCCGAGCCTGCGATACCTTGCCGCTTGTAGCGAATGTGGCCGGTACGGCACTTTCCATCGATGAAGTATTGGCCACTACCGCAGATTTTTCTTTCCAATTTATTTTTTAAGAGATTACATATGAGAAACGCATTCTCATGCAAATCTGCTTTTCTGGAAAATTGAGCTTTCAATATCGTCGAACAAAAAAATAAGGATGGTAAGTTAAAAGGCTTACTTAGTTTTTGGATCACAATATAGTGACTCTAATGTGGTTTCTTCCGTACATTTGTCACCTTCTTTTGCAATTGTACAGCTATCGCAGTCATCTCCTATTCGACATTCTTGCTTGCCGATGACATCTCCTTCAAGAAAAAATCATAATGATATCAAAATCAGCCCGATTTGATTGTCTTCCAAAATTTCGCATTTTCTGTCAAAAAGTCACGCAGTCAAAAATTGCATATTAGTATGCCCATTCTATTTCATGATAGATTCTATAAAGTTACAAGCAAGATAAAATCTTATGATAAAGATAAATCGAGTAAAAGAAAGTGGAGGAAATTCTAAGACCACTAATCGTTAAAAAAGATGTATTAGGGCGCCTTTTCAACAGAAATTTATTTTGAGGAAAGGTCTTTTCGGAGGCTGATTAACTTTTGTATGAGAAAAGAGATGATTGATTGTAAGGAATCAAAGATACCTGCAAGCAGGATCGCCAACGCGAAGAGTCGATACATCCGCCTAAGCACTATGTGCGGCTTCCAATTATTTGACTACAAATACCGATCGCCGAAGATGGTTGAATGAATGGGGGTACGGGACGAGTAAGCTGCTTTGTGAGAGTCGGGTGGAGCGCTTAAGGCGCTTGCTCGCGACTCTTTTGGAAGTAGGACCGAGCCCGACTGAGTGTCCGAGGGTGGAGAGCGACGACCGTATTTGTTCTTGTCCGAGAGAGATTCGCCCCTACCACCACCGCCGACGCCGCCGCCGCCGCCAGCACCGGCACGCCCTGCGCGGTGCTGCACTCGCGTAAGGGATTATTGTTCTGATGAGCTAAAAAAGGCGACAGCACGCTTCGATTGCGGAGTCACTTCTGCCCAAAAAAGAAGGTCCCTTTGACAAATCAAAATCTTTAGGTGAGGTGTCCTCAAAGATTGACTGAGTTAGAGTGTTGACATAGTAATATGTCGTCTCTATGCTCTAAGTGATCAAACAAGTGACCACCGCGTGCTGCTCGCCTCGGCTATGCTCTGATTTGCTCGCAATAGAAATGTCAACGTTCTTGTGCGATTTAAAGCAAAACATCCGCTGATGTTTGGTTTTGAAAAAAAGTAGGTTTCGTGATATCGCGATTGACATGTGTAGCCCATAAAACCTTCGGATTTTGACAGAATGACTTCTCCATAACCTTTCTTGCAGAGTACTCAGAGCCGTGTTTCGTGTCAACTGCAAGGCGCCTAAAATCGAGGAGGAAGCACACGGAAGAGCAAACACTTGTAAAATGAACAGTCAACCTCTTGAGATTTACGAGCTTAAGCCCGAATGAGAAAGTACAGCAAAGACACTCCCGACGACAATCGCCGTGGGATTAACGACTTACTGAGCATTACATGGGAGTTTGTGTAATCTAGTGTCCTCTAAAAGGTAATCGTACTTGAGCACAAATTCACAATCAAAACTCGAAATAAAGATCAATCTGAATAGAAAGGGTGATTACACGCAATGTGCTCTGTCCGCCGGCAACTTTGCAAGTTTATACGATATCTTTCCGAAATCTATTCTCTTGCCTCAGTTGTACACTGAAGTTGAGGAAACTTTTGCTTTTTAGACGTTAAATACGACATAGAGGTCGAATCGGCAGAGAATTTTCTATTTCCAAGAAAATGCTCACACTATTTTGGCCTTCCTAAGTGTGCCTGAGAATCAGAAAATGTCTTTTAAATTTTTAACATTTTCAAAAATCGCTTATATAGATGCTTTTCCATATGTTTATGAATAGAATTTTCTAACTGGAAAATTTTGCATGTCTGGATATAGGTATAGGCCTATGCTGAGCATAAGGGTGCTCGTACGCTGGCATTTTTCTCAAATACATCTTCGCATTTCATAAAAGTACGGATTCCTGCAAAAGCAAATAGAACCGAACCACAGCTGGAAATGGTTAAGAAAGTGTTTGAGTTTATTTGTGTATATAGCAGGGAAGGCGCGAAAGTATAAGAATTCCATTTTCTTTTGAAACCCATTAGTCTCATTCTATTGATTCACACATCTATAAATAAAGGTCTTTTTGAATTCTGACAAATGTGTTTGGTAGAGTTTGCTTAGAGCATTATATGACTCAAATTCGAGCTCATATTTATCACAAATTTTTCCGTGACGATGCTGCAAAAGTTGGCGCCACTCATTCTGGCGCACCTGTATACACGCTGTACTTTTAGTTGACTAGAAACTGGAAAAAAAGCATCGCTGAACATTAGCAGTTTTCGTCCTGGAACCTGGGCATCTTCGACAGCAAGATAAAATTCTATTATTCCACACAAGTTGGTACGGTGCAACTTCGTTGACCTAACGTTTCGAACACCTCATGTTCATCGGAGGTTAAGGATTGTGGTTTATGTGTCTGCTGCCACTGTGCCGCCAAACTTCCCTTCTGTCTGCTTTGCGTGAAGTTGTCTCAGATGCAACGTACTACATCGAACGGAGGATCAACCTCCAGTCCGCGGTAGAGTTGAAGCTGCAAAGCACAGTTTCAGACTAAGCTCATCCTGGGGAACCAAATACGATGAATATCCCAAAATTGTCATTTTGCTGAGCCGCTGCCTTCAATTTTGGCGGCAGGCGTCCAAATACAAATTCGCTTTTAAAATAACCCATTTTCTACATCTTCGTGTTCTGCAAGTTGCGCCTTCGGAATCAAAAGCCCAGGTGAGCGAAGAATTCTCCACTGGAATCTTTCCCGGGCTGCCTTTGGGCCGCTTTAGGTGCGCAGCCAGGGCCCGGCACGAGGTGGGCAAACGGGGTTTTCCAAAACGAATTCCCCTTTGATCCCAATAGTTTTTACGAATACCCCTTGCCCAAAAATGACGCTTTGTGCTTGTGCAACGAGAGCACCGGTCAGAAAAGCCTAAAAGGCCTAAAAGCGCTCAAAAGCGCCCAAAATGCTCAAATTCCTCTGATTACTCCTCAACTGTATCAAGATAGAAAACAGGAAGAAGAATAAGCAAGAAAAATGATGAAGGAATGAAAAAATATCAAAGTAACGCAGTCATAGGACTGAGAGACGCCGTTCCCGCGCGTATCGATTGACTGGGGCGCGTTTTCCATCTCAGAAAGCTAGGCTGCTGATGCGATTTTGGGCTATAACAAAGACAAGAGGAAGAGTTTCGGAACCAAAATCTCACCATATAGTAAACTTTAGGTGCCCAACAGATTTATGTAAGAATTTTGAAATTATGTGAATTGAAAGTTTTGCCCACCTCAGATGGGCATTAGATGGGCAATTGCCCACCTGATTTGAAAAAGTTGGGCAAGCTCTTCATTCACATAAGTTTTTCATGATTTTATATACTTTGTTCCCTAGTCCTACTGCGCGTATACGCAGCGAATGTCGCGCGATTTCGTCATCTCTGCGTTGCAAACGAGCCATTTTTCCATTTTCTTGATAGAGAGAAATTTTCAGAAAAAAGCTTGCCACAACTTTCAGTCGCATAATTTTTCAATGAAACTTTTAAATTAAGCCCTGCAGGCCCGTGTTCATGTACCACCGCGTTTCATACCGTATGGTCATCTGTGCGCTGCAAACGAGCCATTTGAATTCACTTCTTCATTTACCAGTTTTGCAAATTTTTTGGAAAAAATGCTTAATATTCCTCCCATTCACATAAGTTTTTCATAATCATAACTTATAATAACGGGCTAAGGGTGTTTACGTGTTTTTATGTGTGTGTGTAAGTTTGTCTGTCTGTCACGAAATTTGTTCCAGCCAATCTCCTGAGCCCAAATTTCGCATAGCGCATGCTACCAACATGAGAGTCCACTGTACAAAAGCATGAGCGGATCCGTTTTGTGGATCCCTCAAAAAATGCGCGTCAATCGGATCCATTTGGCTTTTGGCCAATAAGAATGAGCCTGTACCACCACTTTTGCGATGCCATGGATATGTTTGACAAGCTAATGTGGAAGCCATGGACTTCAGCCCAGAAAACTGAATTAAAGTTGGCTACTTCACGAAAATGGCGCTAAAAAGAGTTAGTTGCGTAAATGTTCGTTTTTCCAAGATTTCACCTGGTCATTTGAGAAGATTTTTGCACAGAGGTGTAGCCCATGATGTTTGCTGTCCTTAGGGCAACTACCAAGCCATAAAAATTTTAAAAACCCACTCAGATTTGCACCTGTTCTTCTGGAAGGAATTTCATTCAGGCGAAAGAACCGATCTCACACGAAAAACCTCTAGGGGTGAGTAGTTATTTACGAATCATTCGTGATAGCTTACATAGCGCGGTGAGTTTCAATGCCATTATTATGCGGAAATGAGCAAGGCATACAGAAATAGGGCCAGTGCGAGCCTCTGCGAAGCAGAGGTGACGCACTTGTATTTCATACTTTGTTTCTACCAGCCTCTCTTCGTTCGCTTACGTAATTTGGTGCTATATCGTTACGCCTGCATTGAGAACTGATCATGTAATCATGCTGTTCAACGGCATCGCTTATGCGACGTCGCGCACGCGGCAATTAGCGGCGGCGCGGCGTAGCGCGCGCGAACTCTGCTGTGCGTTGAGGTTTACGAAAACTATTTCTCAATGAGTTAGATGTATAAGGTAAGCATGAATCGACCTTCTTTTGCTTGCACTTGGCCCCTGTGCGCAGCGGCGTATCTATGCTGCATAATGCGATCTGTTTTAATCGAATGTAAGCTGACGTTTTTGCAGAAGGCTTTGCGAGTGCACAGCGTTGGCATTTTGCCAGTAGAGAACGCACCGGCATGGGTTTTTGCTTACGGCGCGGTTTCTTGCAGGGCGGAAACCCATCATTCCAATTTCGACCTAAATTGGGTTGGAGCGCCTTAGTTTATAGCTGGAAGAGTACCGTACCAATCCTTTGGAAAAGATTTGCTAGCACACCATCGCTGTTTTTTCGCACTTTCTATGAGTGAAATGTGAACATAGTTGTTGAATCAAACTTTATTTTCAAGTATCAAAGCAGTGTTGCGTGATTTTTTTGTCACGACCTATGAAGAGATGATGTATTTTTGTGAGAATTTTCGTTTTTAAACGATATCATGCCATTTTCCGTCAATCATTATTCGTTTTGGCACAAAACGTGGGCATTCAATTTGCATGTTGACCGTTCTTGATCCACCGGATTGCATTTTTATCAAGACTACGAGGTCAATAGCGACACCTTCCATTTGTCGAAGTGGTGAGACTTGTATCTAAATTGAAAAATAGTTACAATGTTGTTCACGTATGGAATACTTACAGATCCAGGCACAACTTCAGCTTTATTCGGAGTTGACATTCTGCGAAATTTTGATGGGCTGCTTGCTTTGCTGAAAAGTCTGCTGAAACTGTGTGAAGTTCTCTTGCAAATGACTTACTTCGCTTTCGTATACGGCCGTAAACTGGGTTGGGACGATGTTGTGAAAGACAGCGTTGAACCAGTGGATCTCGAGGTAGTTCTACCTTTGTCCTGAGCGTAATCTCATAAAGAATGAGCGTTGATGAAAGTAAGTATGAAAGTGCATTTTTCTTTCAATTTCTATGGTCTTTAAGCGTTTACTTTGAGAAAAGTAAATGAAAACTCAATTGATTCAGATTAAGATCCATACTTCGCTTATTTGGTCATCTTTTCTCCTTGATTTCTGGCTCGGTGTTTGTAAAACCTTGTCTTCAACTACGTCATAAGTGGTCTTGTATGGCTTTGATTTCGCAGGTTGTGTTTCTGAGTAGTCATGGGAAGATGACGTTATAACCTCGACACGATCCCCATCTTGTGGCAAATCGAGTAGTATCTAAGATAATCTTTGTTGGTGAGTTACATCTTGGCAAAAATCCAGCATACCCTTTCGGCATCGTTAATAGTATTGATGAGCAGTTGGTTGATGCTATGTTGAACTACTTTGGCGGAGAATGACATCTTGAAGAGGAGGAACCTGCCTAGTGGCAGCTGAAGTAAATGCAAAATGAATACTTAAAAGTTCAAACTTATGTTGCTACCGGAGTCTAATTGTAATAACAATGAAATTAACTTTTGCTTTTCGAGGTTGGGTGTGGTTCTGTCAATTATATAGTAGACGGAGACGTGGCAGATTAGCGCGATCAACATTGGAAGTAAATTGAAAATTCACTTCTGCATTCTGCAAAATCCGTCAAAATGGTCAGTTTTGTGTATGTGTCGCTTTTATCAAGTCGCTTTTATCTTGTAAAAGTCACAAAAGAAAAGGAGCACTTCGCTCTTAAAAAGGCTGGAAGATGACGCTTGTGCAGGACCGTGTCAGTATGTACCATTACGTAGGTTTACTTATACGTCCTCTACTGGTTAGCGGCTAGTAAGCACTTTTAGAAAATCAAGCTCATGTTATACGGCTTTAATGCTTCGCAGCTCTGCAGCTGAAGAAGGGAGGAGAGGGATGGGGAGGGGGGGGGGGGGGGGAGAAAATAAATAATTTAAATCTTCACTTTTGAGCACCAACTTAAACCAGTTTTCGACTCAAGAAGACTAGATTAAGACGTATTTTGGCGTTTTGTACAAACATATTGAGCCTCAAAATGCGCGAGCTTTTATTTATACAGAGTGTCCCATTAGATGTGCACACTGTTTGATCGTTAATAACCTCTTGCTTTCAGGTATTTTGCCCAGCTTAAAGTACAATATTATTGTGGAGAGGTTCATCTTAGATTTACAGTATGAAGCGAATCATCAAGCAATCTTCATTACTGTAGGATTACGGTATGAACTTTAAGCTTATAGCGTCACTGTGGAATATGTCGCCAAGCGACAACAAGAAAAAACAAGTAATTATCCGAGGTTTGCAAGATACAGTACTCCCATGCTTGCAAACTTTACTTCAGGCCATTAAAAACAGCGTGGCCTAGTGACTCAAAGTGGCAGCTGCGCCAGATGGTAGCGACGATCCCGACCAAGAGAGGCGTCAGCACATTCGTCATTTATGCTTTAGCTCAAGTATTGCGGCGTAGTCGTGTTTAACAGTTTAGTTCGCTTTAAGCGTAGAAACTTTTGAATGCTGCGGAAAAGGCTTTAATCGCGTTTAACGTTTTCAACCTTCATTGCCTAAAATCCTAAAATTTAGCATGCGCATTTTGTCTGTGTTTTTGTTGATCTAACCTCCACATCATAGTTCTCATTTAACGATCATTTCACTTATGTATTTTTATATTGCTCACTTATGCGTGCTTTATTCGTGTATTTGTTGATTAGTATTTAGTCAGTAAAGGTTTAATTACCCAAGTTTGAGGTGTTGTGTGTGTGGTAAAGTCCCGCGTGGCGTATTTGGCTTGTTGGTATTCACACAAGTGGTATTCGAGGTTTATCGTGTCCTAATATCACTTATCGTCACTAATTTATCTCAGAATAGGCCTTTTGATGAAATAATTTCAAAAAAATCTGGATTTGTGTAGTAAGGTTTTCGGGCAGGCTGATTTCGCTATATAACTTTTCACAAGTTTTTCGAGCTTTCTTGATGTCGTAATCACATTTTTGACAAACATTGGAAAAACAGTTGTTACCCTAAATCTGAAATAGCTACAGGAAGACGCACAACACTGAAGTGGAAACTTCATATTCAGCATCAGCGACTACGATTAGCTCACTTCAAAAGTTTTTGACTTGTTTGGCTTTGTTTTCGATACAAAATACCGCTTGCAATGGCTTAAACTCCTCCTCGAAGTTCTACCGTAATCCTACAGTAATGAAGAGCAATTGATAATTCGTTCCATACTGTTAATCTAAGTTGAAGCTAGCTCTATAGAATGGTATCTCAAGCTCGGGAAAAGACATAAAAGCAAGAGAGTTATTGACGATCAAACAGTGTGCACATCTTTTTGCGACACCCTGTATGCACTTCACATAGATCTTTAGTCTTTATCTCGCATAAGTCAGATGATGATTGTAAAAGTGAGCCTTGAAGTTTCTCACCATATGAATGTCCTAAAAATCATAAACCAAACGTATTTGCATGAGTTTGTGTCAACCACGTGCTCACTTTTCCCTAGCAACTACGCTTCCGCAGCGAGTGGGCAATTCACTGCGGTCTCCGCGATGCGGCAAATCTGAACGCTCAGACCGTACATCCGCGAACGTAGCACGTGACTCTGACTTTGTGCTTGAGCTGATTGGCCAGGGGCATATTGTTGGCACGATACTTACATGTAGTTTATTAGTTGACCGCACGGACTAAACATCATTGCGCGGCGCGCGTCGCGAGGTAAAACGCTTGCCCCAGTACAGATTCGCCATTGCACAAGTCGTGCTCTCGCAGCATTCGACCGCGCCGCACGTGGTCTGCAGCGTTTGAGCAGTCCATGCGGTCAATCGGCAATACTTACAGTCGAATAAATTTGCTGGCTAACATGTATCCTTGAAGTGCAGAGATGTTGCAGTAAAACTTCTGTATTGACGACATTGTATTTATCGGCAACTCTACTCGACTGATGGCATGTCGTGGCTGCGCACCAAAGTAAAGCAGTCTCCATTCGTCTCTGTTCTTCTCTTCTGACATCCGGATTTTTTGTCGGCAGCTGCGTCAATGAGTTCCAGGTGCGAAAATCGTATCCAACTGGTTCTCAGCTGGTTCATCCGTTCCTCGAAAAATCTTCTTATCTTGTTGCTGGTTTTCCTCGAGGACGTTGCGAAAATCTACTTCGATGTTTCCTAGTATTTATCTTTATTCTGGTCTTCCCCATCATGCTTCGCTTTCGCAGCGTATTCCGCTGGGTTACGAAAATTCTTCTCATATCCAAACCGCGAAATGTGACAAGACCTTGTTTGTGTGGGAACATCTTTAGAGGGCTGCACTCAGGCGTTCTGTAGTGGTCCATAAAGCCTTCGATGTTGCTAAGTGTTGACCCAGTCTCAGCTCGTAACAGAGCGCGAGACAATCGAGTCGAACAGGTGGCTTCGAGTTCTGGTTTCGTAGTTGGTTGGTGACATCCTTTAGAGATTCGAAGGCTGCCCATGCTGTTTTCCTCCTTCTAGGCTCGTATGCACGTACATCCCCGCGGGGAGGGAAGGGGATCTGAGAGAGGAGGTGCCATGTCTCGCTAGTCTATATATCTTTCTTCTTCTTTCTCTATCTTGCTTTTGAAGGTTCTCATACACTGATACCTGCGCATAACGGATGCCAGGTTACTGCCATACAAGATTAGATATTCAGTATTTCTTCTGATCCCCTGGGGATCCCTAGGGGATCAGCTCACTTCAAAGTCATTTATCTTCTTGAAAATCAATGAAAATTCTATAAAATTGTACTGAGGATATATTACAGCGCTGCTAAACATGTTTACGGTAGAAAAGAGTGAAATCTCAAGATATCAAAATCTTCGACGAACCGCTGCTCGCGAGCCAGGGATCATCGAAAAAATCAAAATCTTCAGATTCCATTCCTTCTGTCGAAAACATGTTCAGCAGCATCGTAGTATATCTTCCGTACAGTTTTGCAGCGTTTTCATTCAGTTTTCAGGAAGATAAATGACTTTGAAAATGTGAGGTGATCCCCTGGGGATCCCCAGGGGATCAGAAGAAATGCTGAATATCTAATCTTGTATGGCAGTAACCTGGCATCCGTTATGCGCAGGTATCAGTGTATGAGAACCTTCAAAAGCAAGATAGAGAAAGAAGAAGAAAGATATATAGACTAGCGAGATATGGCACTTCCCCTCTCAGATCCCCTCTCCTCCCCGCGGGGATTTACGTGCATACGGGCCTTAGATTCGTTCTCCATGTTTATCGAACGTCCAAATTACACGTAAGAAGACCATTTTCTTGAAGAGATGCTTTCCTTCCCATTTGTTCGCAAAGGGCGTTCTTCATGAAATGTGTTTTATTCGCAGTGATCTTCTTCCTTACTTCGTTGAGTTTCTTCAGCATCGTCTATGCTTCTGTGATACTGCTCAAAAGAGGAACGATGCTAACCAAAAAAAGATCCGGTAGGATTCTTTCATCAAGTGTTTCTCTCACGTCGCAGTCCATTACCACCACCCACTGCAAGGCGCGGCGAACAACTTCAGCAAGATTGTATCTCTCGGTCGGACCTTCATCCTAACTGGGATGGTCGGGAGGCGCTGGAATAGCTGCTCATATTTGAGCAGCCCTTGCAGCAGCTGGCTAACGTCATCAAAGCTGATTCTTTTCTTCAAACGATTAGCGTTGACAGGATGGCATTGGTTCCGACGCTGTCAAAGGCTTTCTCGTAGTTGACGAAGGTTAAATGAGAGGCATGCCGTACTCTCGTTTTTTGACCTCGAAACCATTTGGATGTCGTCGGTGGAATTTTTTGCGAAATACAGCTTGATTAGCAGCTAGCTAATCAAGCTTGCTAGCTCCGCAGGTCCTTCCGTTCGTCATTCGAATAAAAGTTCTTCATTGGTCAGGAATCCTTTCACGGTAAGCAGTCGTATGCGACGCGAGAATCTTGTGTAGAGTTGTTAATTGGCTCTCAGAAGTTTGACGGAGAGGTGTTCTGCTCGTGGGCCGTGAAAACGTTTCCGGAGACTTCAGCAGGTAGAATTTTTGGTTGTACTACTCTAGTGGGGGCAGCGGCATTGGTACTCACAGCTCGCTGGAGCGGACCTGCGTTGAACGTAGAGCGCCTCAGTCCGGCATCCAGTAAGCTAATGATCAAAATGCGGATCTTTCTTGGCCTCAAGATTTTGTGCGTTTTCTTATAGAAGCACCTGTGCAGGATTGGTTGAACGGCTAAGTGATTATTATTCAGAGCGCAAGGCCATGGATCGAAGCCGATTAACGGTTACTTTTTGCGGCATCGGAGCAATCTTTGGTAGCTGTCGCTATAGAAAAAGCGATGGTGATCGCTATCAGGGAATGCACCCAGCAAGTGGATAAAAGCAGGATTTTTTGACGAAATTTTCATGAGAAACGAAAATGTTGGAACAAATTGAATGAATCGAGCACGAAGTCCTTGTTCTATGC